CCGCGCATAGCGGGAGCTTAGTGCACCAGGCTTCCCTATATTGTCTTACCATGTGAATTGAGACTTGTTCATCCTATTAACTTTAGGACAAAGAACAATAGCATGGTTGTGTAGCAATAGCTTTATTTTTCCACGTGTATCCCATCAATACATATATAGGTTAAGAGGAGTCAATTGTTATCAAGAATTATCCTAACAGTTTTGTTGATGAAGTCAACATTTGCTAGCTAGGTCCAAATTATTGTGATCTAATATATGTAGATAGGTATATGAAAGTTCACCAAACATTGACAAGTGATGGAAATTAATTAAAGTTATCGATGCAACTCAAAAATATCATCACGTGATTAAAGATGAGGGCTTAAATCCTTTATCATTATGATCTACAGCTGAAACCTCAATTATATCATTACTGGCTAGGCTGCTTCAATTTATAAAATTTGTGGAAAGTATTGTCAACCATTAATGTTCAAAAGAAATTTGATGTGATTTATTCAAACACGAGATATAAATAAGGAGCGGAATAGCTAGATTTGCCGGAGGAACTAGATAAGCTTTTCTAGATATACTTCTTTTACATGCTCTAAGGACGTAGTGTTTTAGCTTTTTTTTTTTTTTTTTTTTTTTTTTTTTTATATAGAATGTAGATATATATGTGATTTTTTTTTTAAAAAACTAGCATAAATATCAATTTGAAATCCATATTTCCAAAAAATAAGAATTTTGAACATATTAAACTTAAATGCTAAATCTGTCTCTAGTAGAGTCGAAATTCCTTGTTGTAGAAAAAAACAATTAAAGAGAATCTTATAAAAAAGTTAAAGATAATTCAACGCAGTAAAGTAAATGAAAGCTTAACGAGCGAACTATATCCTAAATTGATATCACCTTGGACTTATCCAATTTTTGTCAATTCAATCAATCCAAGTTATTTATATTTATTTTTTTCAAAAAAACAAAAAGGCTTGCTATACTTGATATGATCTTACTTTTGCATCACCATCTTCCTAGTTGACCTAACAATTGAAGTATCACAGAATTGGAGTGACAATAGAGTTACAAATCCACAAGAAAAAGGTCAAAAAAGCATACTATAAAATATGTGAAAAGAGAAGAAACATCTCAAAAATGACATAAGAGATAGATAAGATCAAAGAGGTACTGTTGGAAACAAATTTTGGGGGAATAGACATCACTAAGAGAGGAATAAGAAGATGGTTTATTAAAATGGAGCTATCTCTCCTTAGAAATAGAATAGACCTTTTAAAAGCTATTGTCTCCCTAACTACAAAAACCCCATGTTATTACCTATCTTCCTTTTCTTTTCCATGTCTCCTCATTATCCTTTTGCTACATTTTTGTCTATTTCTCTCCCATTTTCTAACTCTATTGGGGCCTTGACACGTATCCAATTTATAGCTATCTTCTTGTACTTGTTTGATTTTGTGCATTTATAATTTGGAAGCTTAGTGGCATTTGCTTTGAAACTTTTTTCAAAAAACTTTTTATTTTCTTTTTTGGAAAAACCAAATATAATTAGAGAAATGCTTTTCAACTTTTTTGAATATAAAAGCACATGTGGAATAGTTTTCAGGTTTTGCAAAAACTGAGTTGGACAAATATTTCTCCAAAATTATTTGACCAGTTTTTGATACAAACGCGTAATCAGAATTGTCGTTAAAATAGCACGAGTTAGCCAATTTTTGAACCGGTCATTCAAAAATAGTTAGTATTTACAAAGTCATTGAAAAATAGCCACTATTTTGTTGTAATAGGGACAAGACCAAATATATTGGAGATCGATGCACCTGTGTATGAAATTCCAGCATATTATGTTGGAGCTCCAACACGCGGAAAGTTCCAGCATAATATACTGGAGATTAGAGCACCTGTGTTTGAATTTCCAGCATATTATACTGGACCGGTATATTATACTGGAACTTCAGTATATTATACTGGAGTTCCAATATACTTATGCTGGAACTCCATTATAATATGCTGGAGTTCTAGTATACTTATGCTGGAACTCCAGTATATTATGTTGGAGTATTTTTCGGATTTTGAACAATGTTTTCGTTCAGATTTATCTTTATATGAAGAGTGGCTACATTTCGATTACTTTTGAAATTGTGGCTATTTTTGAGTGACCACTTGTAAATCTGGCTATTTTGAATTTCTCCCCACTTTCTTTCCTCGAGTTTTCTAAAGGGCTTTTTTCACTTTCTATATGTTGGATTTCCTATATATATAATAGTTAAAAGGAATATTTACACAAATAGTCAGTTATATTTATTGTTTACTTTTTTTAACCATATACATAGATTATACATTGACTAAACTTAATTATACACATATAATACATAAATTATGCATATATTATACCTTCACCGTTTTTTTTGTTTAAACAATTGGGTGAGCAACTATTTGGTAACATGCTTCTAGTTATTAAAAATAGAAAGGTTCTTTTGCTGGTTCAATTCTTTTCCCAATAAGGATTAGTTACCTCCTATAGCAAAGGTTGATACCTTATTTATTTTAAATAAATACCCTTTTAAAAAATTATATTCCATAACTATCTTTTAATTTTTATAGCCAAATATCTATTTATGGTCACCTCCTACCCTTAAGCCATAAAATAAGCTTTGTATTATTTTTCTCTCTCCACTCAAATTTCTCCTATCCCCTCAAATTTCTCGTATCCCCTATCCCATATCTATTCTCCCTCTTTCTCTCTCTCTCCCACTCTCTCTCTCTTTCTTTCTCTCTCTCTCTCTCTCTCTCTCTCTCTCATCTTCCACCTTCATCTTACTACCAGAACTCTCCGGCAAAGCATCAGAATAAGAGTTTTCCAGCGAAGACTTTTGGGCTGCCGAGCAATCATCCGATATAGAAATTTTCTCTGGCGTAACAACGGCAACCGGAGGCAACGGTGACGGCGAGCGAGGACTGGATACTAATGCTGCTTCAACCTCACCGCCGCGGACTACTTGTGCCCATGGTGCTTGTAAACTCCGTCGAGACTGTGGACTGCTAACAGTGGCTCCAGTGGCTTCAATTGTAAAGAATAGGTATTTTGAAGCGCACATGAGGGTATTATGGTAACAGGAACAGTGGCATTTCGAGTCAAAATCGCGGCCTTCTCGACAAGACGACATTAGGGTTGTTCTTGAACAAAGACGACGGAGTTTGAGGCTGGGCAACTTGAATTTTCTATTAATATATTTCAATGTATTTCAATGTATCTCGCTGTATTTCTATGTATTTCATTGTATTCATTGTCTTTTTTTTATTGTATTTCAATGTATCTCAATGTATTCCATGTATTTCATTGTATTCACTGTCTCGTTATATTCCATGAATGTATTCATATATTTTTTTAATTAATATAATTTATGTATTCAAATTGCTCTGTTTTTGTTGTATTTATCGGCTGGGAAAAATATTCAGCATATTTTCTCTGAAGATTGCTATGTTTTTGTGGTATTTTTCGATTGAGAATCTTTTTTATAACTGGAAATACAAATTTTGTGTGTTATAATTGAGTTTGTTGAGTTATATTAGGAGTCTATTATATTAATTGATTCACTTTACGTTTAAAAATAGCTGAATAGACCATGAATTGCGCTATTTACGTTACTGTATTCACAAATATATATCGTGAATACAGTCAAATACAATAATCGGTCTAGCTGTAATCTCCTGTTCCACGCCGTAAATACAGTCGAATACAAAAATCTGTCTAGTTGTAATCCCCTGTTTCACGCCTAGAAATGCTACTGTATTCATGAATACAGTAGCTTAAATACATCGAATACACTCTAAAAACCTAAAAACATAGTTATAAGAAATAATATAGTAAATGATAGCTACAATTAACTAATAACTACTAAAACATAGTGGTTTCTGAAAGTTTCTCTTTAATGAACCTTGGGACACATATTGTACAAAATAAAAAAGGGATTTGCGCAACAAAGAGATGCAAGCATACATTTAAGTCTAAGTGGACAATATCATGCCGAGAAGGTACACAAGTACACACCATTTGGGCGTGAGAAATACTTTTTGAATCAAATACAAAAAGTTATTTATGATTAGTAAGCACGGTTTTTTACTAAGTACTTCTTTTCTTTCACATATCTCTCAGTTATTATTGTCAATATTATTCTCTGAGCTTATTTAGCAGCACAGCGTCCTACTTCGATACTAAGGGACTTAAGCCTCTAATTAAGTCTTAACCCAAACCACAAAATATTAGGATTAATATCCACTTGGTCTAGTTAATAACAAAGCACACTTAGTCTAGTTAACTAGAATCATTTAATATCCATTACCTAACAGAATAAATTACGTGCAAAACCAGAATGAAGCCGTTTTAATTTTGCGTGACTTTGGATAATCATAACAAGTAGGAGTAATTAATTACAAATTGGCCAAACTGGCAGCAAATTAACTTTCTGGTAGTAAACAGATTTTACTTTCTCCTTATATTAGGAAGTTCCTGCATGTTGCATTTGTTTTCCTTCTGCAATGTATTACCTTTTGCAAGTACAACTTTACTCAAAGTATACCTTCTTTTTTCTAAAATATTTACCTATTCCCGTTTGATCTCTAGCAACATGGATTAATCTACATCCTAGTTTCCTTATGTCCAGTTGTGTAAAAAAAAAATTACAAGACAATGAAATTAGGCTTTCCGAGGGTACAGATTGTACATTCATAATTAATGGGTGTTTGCACCAAACAAATGAATACAAGATATGTGTCCAGTCTAGAATATTTGAAGAAAAAAAAAATTAAGTTATGGGAAAAATGCATGTTAGAATAAGAATAGTACTTGTACACCCAGAAGAGTACTACGTACTAAAGCTTCAGAAGACTGAGCACTTCTCAAACATATAACATTGAGTCTTGAACCCTTGATCAGTTAGTAGTTTTCTTTGAAGTTCATTGAAAGATATCTTCATTTGACAACCATGAAATCAGACAAAGGAAAAGGAAAAATGACAAATAATATAGGTGAATTACTTGAAGAATGGTATGAAGATGAGGGGCTAGAAGATGTACAAATCGACATATCAATGCTAGAAAATGATGATTATCAAGGTGACAACACAAACAATGAAGGAATTCATGGCAGTGCTACTGGTGCTCATCAACATGGTTTTGGAGTTAGGAATTCGCGTCGCAATTTGCAAAAACGTGCATGTCCATTTGTGTTAAAGATTTATGAAATGCTTGCTGATATTCAGTTCAATCCCTTGATTTCTTGGAATGGTAATGGTACCAGCTTCATTATCCATGATTGTCATAAATTTGCTGCTAAAGTTCTCCCCCGCTTTTTCCGCCATAACAATATCTCTAGCTTCGTCTGCCAACTCAACTGTTATGTGAGTATATATGATTTTATTAATATTGCATTGTATGTAATATGTATGTCATTGTTTTAAGGTGATGTTTTTATGTTTTGGTTTGTGATGAAAATAACAATAGGGATTCAGGAAAATAAGTTGGGACAAATTTGAGTTTCAGCATGAATGTTTCCAGAGAGGAAAAGGGCAGTGGTTGAAGAATATCAAGAGAAAGGGTAGTAAAAAGTCCGAGATGAATCAGCAGCCACAAGAGCAAGGCATTGATGAAACGGTTGCAGTTACAATGGAGAAGGAAATTGAAGAAATCAGAGAAGAGCAAAATGCAATGAGGGAAGAAATCATAATGCTGCACCAGCAGCTAGACATACTAGAGAAAGAGATGGAAGATAATACTAAGCAAGCTCGGAACCATGTGTCATCCAAGAAAGCCAAAATTCTCAAGTATTTGTTGGGCCCTTTGTTTGAGTGTATAGGAGAGGTTGGTAGCAGTGAAGTTGCACAGGGACTCCAGGAGGAAGAGAAACAGGGTGATGACATAGAAGATGGTGTTGAAAATCGAGGCCAAAAAAGGAAAAAGCAAGTTGAAGAAGAATTGCAGGGAAAGAATGAAGGAAGCAAGAAGATTGCAGCAGCAGGTGTTTCAGATTTTAGATCTGATTCGGATTTGAGGAAGATGCTTATGGATGAGATGGACATGAACAATTTGGCTCAAGAGCAACCTGATAATTTCCTGGAGTCGGAGGAACAGGCCGAAGGTCCATCTTTTTGGATTGATTATGTGGAAAAGCTAGATCACAAGCCTATCCTCTCTGGAGTTGGCCCTGCCGTCTCACAGTCACAGGAAAACCACATTTCCAAGCTATTTCATGTATGCTCTCAACTTAATTACAATTTCATAAAATCATGAAAAATATTGACAGGACTCAATGCTTCATTCCCAATTTCTCATTTGTTCCTCCTCTTTTTATTCATTTCATTTTGCTTCGCCGGTTTTCTGATTCAAATTCATTTTGCAGGATTAAGTAATCGGGAGGTTCCTGTGGTATGGTAATGCTTACCAAGAAGAATCAAGACTTTGTTTTCACATAGTTGTAGCTGTTACTAGTTTTTTTTTTTTTTAGCTGTTGACTTGCATTCCTGCATCTTCGTTTCTTTGCTATAGTTTGCTATATCAGTTGGACAAGTTAATTTTCCTCTCTACCAATACTAGTGTTCAGACATTGATCGCATAGATCCAGTATAATATAATGTATGTGTTAATAGAAATCTCAATACTAATGAATGCTTAATTTCTTGTCGATAATGATCGACTGTCAACTGCCAGTCAATCCTAGCTTCACTGGGCTTCAGGGGTTCAAAGAAGAAGCTAGATCATAAACCACCATCACCAATGCAAGTGATACGTACAGCAAGTCAGCAACACGGGTGGTTGACTTCACTAACAACTCACCCCATGCATATACAGTAGAATAAAGGGAAGATCCGGCAGATAAATACTTATAAAAAGACTAGTCGCAGGGAGGAAATCATTCCACGAAAATGCTCGTGCAATATTCATACACCTAAAGCAAGAAGAAAGCACATGCAGGCATGCATTTTAACAGCAGTGGATAGGGAACTCTTCAACTGTTAGGGCCTGACTTTTTGTCATCGGGCGTGGCACGGCTGTGGCAAGGATTTGGGCGTGA